CGGCCTTGTGGGATCTCAGTTCCGTGACTAGGGATTGAACTGAGGCCACGGCAGTGAAAGCACAGAATCCTAACTACTAGGCCACCAAGGAACTCCTCTGTGAGTCTTTCTGTTTTGTAGATAAGTTCATTTGTGTCATATTTTAGATTCTACATATAAGTGATTATCATATGATATTTTTCTGTCTGACTTCACTTAGTGTGATAATCTCTAGGTCCAATCAACATGCTGCAAATGGCATTATTTCATTCTTTTTTTATGGCCAAGTAGTATTCCATTGTGTGTGTGTGTGTGTGTGTGTGTGTGTGTGTGTGTGTGTTATATACATATATACCACATCTTCTTTTATCCATTTATCTATCAATAGACATTTAGATTGCATCCATGTCTTGGCTATTGTAAATAGCACTATTGTAAATAGTGCTGCAGTGAACATTGTGGTGCATGTGTCTTCTTGAATTATAGTTTTCTCCGAATATTTGCCCAGGAGTGGGATTGCAGGATCATATGGCAACTCTATTTTTAGTTTGAGGAACCTCCATACTGTTTTCCGTAGCGGCTGCACCAATTTACATCTCAACCAACAGTGTAGGAGGGTTCTGTTTTCTTCACATCCTCTGCAGCATTTATTTGTAGATTTTAAAATTATGGCCATTCTGACTAATGTGAGATGGTACCTCACTGTAGTTTTGATTTGCATTTCTCTAATAATTAGTGCTAAATGTCTTTCAAAACTGTTTTTTGAAACAATGATACAGTCAAAGTTCACACATTTCATTTTGTTGTTTGATCTTTTTAGTCTCCTTAAACTATCAAAAGCTATCCCATCCCTCCACTTTTTTCTTTTTTCTCTTTTCATAGCATTGTCTTGTTGAAGAGTCCAGGCCAGTTGTCTTACAGAACGTTCCACATCCTGATGTGTCTGATAGTTGTTGATGGTGTTACTCAGTTTGCTTCTTTATCTGCTGTTATTCCCTATAAACTGGTAGTGAGGTCTCTGAGTCTTGATTACATTTTGATTCAACGTTTTTGGCATTAATACTCCATAAGTGATTTGTGTGCTTCATATCACATCATATCAGGGGGACATTTTGTTAGGCTGTCTCACTATTAGTGATGCTCATTTGGATCACGTGGTTAAGGTAGTGACTACCTGATCATTCCATTGTAAAGGTGAGTTTTTTTCTCTTTGTAAATAGTAAGCAATCTGGACGTTGGCACCATTCAATATCCTGCTTCCCAACAGCCTTCCACCTGATGGTTTTAACATGCATTGATGGTCCTGGCCAGAATCATTTATTACATTGGTGGTAGCAAAGTGATGATTTATTTCTCTAATTCTATCATTTCTCCTACATACATTAATTTTCATTATTTGTAAAGAGGAGCTTTATTTTTTTTTTAACTTATTTATTTTTGGCTGTGTTGGGTCTTCATTGCTGCAGGTGGGGTTTCTTTAGTTGTGGCAAGCGGGGGGCTACTCTTCATGGTGGTGTGTGAGCTTCTCATTGTGGTGGCTTCTCTTGTTACGGAGCACAGGCTCTAGGCGCGTGGGCTTCAGTAGTTGTGGCATGTGGGCTCAGTAGTTGTGGCTCGCGGGCTCTAGAGCACAGGCTCAGTAGTTGTGACACACAGGCTTGGCTGCTCCGTGGCATGTGGGATCTTCCTGGATCAGGGCTCTAACCCGTGTCCCACGCACTGGCAGGTGGATCCTTAACCACTGCACCACCAGGGAAGACACAGAAGTAGCTGCTTTTTAATGGAAATCTCTTTTTTTTCCTTTTCTGTTTTTGGCTGCGTTGGGTCTTTGTTGCTGCGCCCAGTCCTTCTCTAGTTGCAGTGAGTGGGGACTACTCTTTGTTGCAGTGCACAGGCTTCTTATTGCCGTGGCTTCTCTTGTTGCGCAGCACTGGCTGTAGAGCGCGGGCTTCAGTAGTTGTGGCTCGCGGGCTCTATAGCGCAGGCTCAGTAGATGTGGTGCACGGGCTTAGCTGCTCCACGACATGTGGGATCTTCCCGGACCAGGGCTCGAACCCATGTGCCCCGCACTGGCAGGCGGATTCCTAACCACTGCGCCACCAGGGCAGCCCCTGAAGTAGATGCTTTTTAAAGGAAATGTTTTTTGCTTGAAAGAATAAGAATGAATAAGAATAAGCTGGTTATTCAGACTTCTGTGCTGGGTAGATGTCTTCTCAAAAAAATGGACCAAGTGATCCACCAGTTGCCAGTATTAGTTGCCAATCATAAAGTTCAAGCTTTCCAAAAACTTAGAACTTTGTAAAACTTATTTCCACCGCAATGAGTTTGACAGTCTTAATATTTAGAGACTTTTCTGATGAGATTGGTGTTGATATTAATGAATGTGAATTCTCAATATTGCATTAAAAATACATCAGCAGGGCTTCCCTGGTGGCGCAGTGGTTAAGAATCCGCCTGCCAATATAGGGGACATGGGTTCGAGCCCTGGTCCAGGAAGATCCCACATGCCGCGGAGCAACTAAGCCTGTGCACCACAGCTACTGAGCTCACGTGCTGCAACTACTGAAGCCCTCACACCTAGAGCCTGTGCTCCGCAACAAGAGAAGCCGCGACAATGAGAAGCCCGAGCACCACAAGTTAAGTAGCCCCTGCTCGTCGCAACTAGAGAAAGCCAGTGCGCAGCAACAAAGACCCAACACAGCTAATAAATAAATAAATAAGTATTTGGGGGATCAGCACAACTCAGTTAACCAATATTTTCCATATGACTAATGTATAGTGTAATAAAATCATGAGTAGGTAAAAGATCCATTCAAAGTCCAAGTCATACCAGTGGATTTTAATGTAACAGTGTATAAAAAGTTCATTGATATGGTTTCAGATTCCACACTGCTGCTAACCTTTTATTATTCTTTATTTATTTACTTATTATTATTATTTTTTAAACATCTTTATTGGAGTATAATTGCTTTACAATGGTGTGTTAGTTTCTGCTTTATAACAAAGTGAATCAGTTATACATATACATATCTTCCCATACCTCTTCCCTCTTGCATCTCCCTCCCTCCCCCACTCCCTATCCCACCACTCTAGGTGGTCACAAACCACCTAGCTGATCTCCCTGTGCTATGCGGCTGCTTCCCACTAGCTATCTATTTTACGTTTGGTAGTGTATATATGTCCATGCCACTCTCTCACTTTGTCACAGCTTACCCTTCCCCCTCCCCATATCCTCAAGTCCATTCTCTAGTAGGTCTTTGTCTTTATTCCCGTCTTATCCCTAGGTTCTTCATGACATTTTTTTTCCTTAGATTCCATATATATGTATTAGCATATGGTATTTGTTTTTCTCCTTCTGACTTACTTCACTCTGTATGACAGACTCTAGGTCTATCCACCTCACTACAAATAGCTCAATTTCGTTTCCTTTTATGGCTGAGTAATATTCCATTGTACATATGTGCCACATCTTCTTTATGCATTCATCTGTTGATGGACACTTAGGTTGCTTCCATGTCCTGGCTATTGTAAATAGAGCTGCAATGAACATTTTGGTACATGACTCTTTTTGAATTATGGTTTTCTCAGGGTATATGCCAGTAGTGGGATTGCTAGGTCGTATGGTAGTTCTATTTGTAGTTTTTTAAGGAACCTCCATACTGTTCTCCATAGTGGCTGTATCAATTTACATTCCCACCAACAGTGCAAGAGGGTTCCCTTTTCTCCACACCCTCTCCAGCATTTATTGTTTCTAGATTTTTTTTTTAACATCGTTATTGGGGTATAATTGCTTTACAATGGTGTGTTAGTTTCTGCTTTATAACAAAGTGAATCAGTTATACATATACATATGTTCCCACATCTCTTCCCTCTTGCGTCTCCCTCCCTCTCCTGCTCCCTATCCCACCCCTCCAGGCGGTCACTAAGCACCGAGCTGATATCCCTGTGCTATGCGGCTGCTTCCCACTAGCTATCTACCTTACGTTTGGTAGTGTATATATGTCCATGCCTCTCTCTCGCTTTGTCACAGCTCACCCTTCCCCCTCCCTGTATCCTCAAGTCTGTTCTCCAGTAGGTCTGTGTCTTTATTCCTGTCTTACCCCTAGGCTCTTCATGACCTTTTTTTTTCTTAAATCCCATATATATGTGTCAGCATACGGTATTTGTCTTTCTCTTTCTGACTTACTTCACTCTGTATGACAGACTCTAGGTCTACCCACCTCATTACAAATAGCTCAATTTCGTTTCTTTTTATGGCTGAGTAATATTCCATTGTCTATATGTGCCACATCTTCTTTATGCATTCATCTGTTGATGGACACTTAGGTTGCTTCCATGTCCTGGCTATCGTAAATAGAGCTGCAATGAACATTTTGGTACGTGACTCTTTTTGAATTATGGTTTTCTCAGGATATATGCCCACTAGTGGGATTGCTGGGTCATATGGTAGTTCTATTTGTAGTTTTTTTTTTTATACAATTTTTTTTTTTTTTTTTTTGCGGTACGCGGGCCTCTCACTGTTGTGGCTCTCCCGTTGTGGAGCACAGGCTCCGGACATGCAGGCTCAGCGGCCATGGCTCACAGGGGAGCAGACAAGCCTCTCGGGCTGGTGAGTGCCGGTCGGGCTGATCCTCTGTGCGGGAACCTCTCCGCTTTGCCCCCCGCACCCCTGTTGCTGTGCTCTCCTCTGCGGCTCCGAAGCTCCCCCCTCCGCCATCCTCAGTCTCCGCCAGTGAAGGGGCTTCTAGCGTGTGGAAACCTTTCCTCCTTCACAGCTCCCTCCCACTGGTGCAGGTCCCGTCCCTATCCTTTTGTCTCTGTTTATTCTTTTTTCTTTTGCCCTACCCAGGTACGTGGGGGGTTTCTTGCCTTTTGGGAGGTCTGAGGTCTTCTGCCAGCGTTCAGTAGGTGTTCTGTAGGAGCTGTTCCACGTGTAGATGTATTTCTGATGTATCTGTGGGGAGGAAGCTGATCTCCGCGTCTTACTCTTCCGCCATCTTCTCCAAACCCCCACAGGTACGATGATTCCGGCCCGCTGTCCCCACGACTGTCGCAGCTTCGGCCGCCGGGGCCTCTCCAGAGCCGGCAGCCTCAGTGAGGCCGCTGTCCCCTTGGGCTCCGGGGCAGTTCCGTGGCTGCGGAGGGAAGAGACCCCAAGCCGGGAGTTCCAGCTCTGCGGAAACGCGGGCTCCGTCCTGGGCCCTGAGGCCTTCCGGGAGGGAGGGGGTCGCCGGGGGAGGTAGCCTCCAGGAGTGCAGGGCCCCGTCGGGGGTCCTGGAGGGCTGCTAACCTTTTAGGAAACTACCACTTCTTGATTTTTGGTGTGGTATCAAAGATGAATATCCACAATTATCTGAAAACGCGATTAAAATGTTTCTCCCTTTTCCAGTTATATATCTGTGTGGGGCCGTACTTTCTTCATATACTTCAACCAAACAACATATCATAACAGATTGAATGCAGAAAAAATAACAGGATTCATTTTATCTATTAAGCTAAACATTAGATAGGCAAAAATGTAAAACGATGCCACTTTTCTCACTACTTTTTGTTTGGAAAAATGTAGTTTTTTTTTCATAAAGTATGTTATTTGTGTTAACATGTAATGGGTTTATTATTTTACTTCTAAATTAATAAATACTTCTAAAAACTCCTCAAATTTAATTTCCAAAATGGTAAACATTGACAGATATAAGCCACAAAAACAAAAACCCTTTGGGGGCCCTCCATAATTTTTAAGATTATAAAGAGGTCCTGAGACCAAAAATACTCCAAACCAGTGATTTGGGCAATCATCAAATGGCTGCTAATATCCCCTGAAAGAGAGATGATGAGCTGTTCTGTGCCTCGCCTCCTGGATGGAGGGGCACACACCACATCACCTATGAAATAGTTTTCTCAGAAATCAAACCTGAATTTGACTGAGCCTCTTGATCTAACTACAGATTTATAGAAGATACAGGGGACAAAGGAACATGACCCAGGGGGCTGAAATCAGCACAGTCCACATGTGGAAAATCCAAATCATGTAGGATAAACAACATGGTTCCTTCAACAAATAAGTTGCAAGAAAAAAATAAAGAGAGGGGGCTTCCCTGGTGGCGCAGTGGTTGAGAGTCCGCCTGCCGATGCAGGGGACACAGGTTCGTGCCCCGCTCCGGGAAGATCCCACATGCCGCGGAGCAGCTGGGCCCGTGAGCCATGGCTGCTGAGCCTGCGCGTCCGGAGCCTGTGCTCCGCAACGGGAGAGGCCCGCGTAACGCAAAAAAAAATAAAATAATAAAAAAATAAAGAGAGATATAGGGGAATCTGTATATTAAAAGGAACTGATGAGACACATCAACCAGTGTATGGACCTTATTTGGATTCTGCTTTGATCCTTAAAAAAAAAAAAAGACAAAAGGGAAATTTAAACTCTGTGGACATTTGATGGTATTAGAGAATGATTGTTAGATTTTTAGCTGATAATGGTATTGTGTGTCTGTGTAAGAACCCTTATGTGAAGTCTTAAGCAAAGAAGGAGAACTTCTATGAGTATTGTAGAATAAGCAATATTTTTTATAGGAATTAACACAATTGTGGGACAAGCTGGGGAAAAAAAGTTCCAAAAAAAAGAAAAAGAATTAGAGAAAAGTCACCAGCCACCTTGTCACAGGTGAATGAGCTGGAGCTTGCAAGAATTCAGAAGCAGGGCTCCCCTGGTGGTGCAGTGGTTAAGAATCCGCCTGCCAGTGCGGGGGGCATGAGCTTGAGCCCTGGTCTGGGAAGATCCCACACGCCGCGGAGAAACTAAACCCATGCACCACAACTACTGAAGCCCGCACACCTAGAGCCCATGCTCTGCAACAAGAGAAGCCACTGCAATGAGAAGCCTGCGCACCACGAGGAGTAGACCCCGTTCGCCGCAACTAGAGAAAGCCTGTGTGCAGCCACAAAGACCCAATGCAGCCAAAAATTTAAGAAATAAATAAATTTAAAAAAAGAATAAAAGAAAGAATTCAGAAGCATCTGTTTTTCTGGAGTACAGCCACAAACAGAGTTGCTGGAGAAGTATATGAAAGCTTGTCCCCCATGGTTACTACTACTGTGAATTCTCAGAGGAAGTTCTGATAGTGAACCTGGGGTAGCTGGTCAGCAGGACCAGGGGTAGCTGGTCAGCAGGACCAGTAGTTGGGAAGGAGTGCTGGACCCAGAGTCGAGGATCAAGTGGATGGAACTTGCCAGTACCTGCAGTGCCTCTAAATCTCATGCAAATATCTCTTGTGGCCATCACTAACCTGGCGTTACACAGGGAAGGGAATTCAAGGAAACCTGGTTCCAGCTCGGTTCATTTGAGTACAAAACTACCACATTACCCTTCAGAGATAGAATATTTACTGATGAAATGATATGATGTCAAGATTTTCTTCAAAATGATTTGAGAAGTGAGGGAAATAGGTAAAGAAATAGATAAATCCATTTTGTACAGGAGTAGAAGATGGGTAATGGGTACAGTAAAATTTATTTTATTTTTCTCTTTATTTTTTGTATGTACTTGGATTTTTTTCTATAATTAAAAAGGTGTTTTTTTTTTTTTTTTTAAGTACCCCACTCACCCCTTGCATTTTTTCCCTTGGGTATCATTAGCTTCATGGGTTTTATTATTTTATTTATTTATTTATTTATTTGCGGTATGCGGGTCTCTAACTGTTGTGGCCTCTCCCGTTGCAGAGCACAGGCTCCGGATAGGCAGGCTCAGCGGCCATGGCTCACGGGCCCAGCCGCTCTGCGGCATGTGGCATCCGTTTTCTCCGAGGTCTCTGTGACTGTCCTCAATTGTTTTCATTCTTTTTTCTTTATTCTGTTCTGCAGTAGTTATTTCCACTATTTTATCTTCCAGGTCAATTATCTGTTCTTCTGCCTCAGTTATTCTGCTATTGATCCCTTATAGGAAATTTTTAATTTCATTTATTGTGTTGTTCATCACTGTTTGTTTGCTCTTTCATTCTTCTGAGTCCTTTTTATTTATTTTATTTATTTACTTATTTATTTACTTATTTTTTTGCGGTGCGCGGGCCTCTCACTGCTGTGGCCTCTCCCATTGTGGAGCACAGGCTCCGGACGCGCAGGCTCACCGGCCATGGCTCTCGGGCCCAGCTGCTCCACGGCATGTAGGATCTTCCCGGCCCGGGGCACGAACCCGTGTCCCCTGCATCGGCAGGCGGACTCTCAACCACTGTGCCACCAGGGAAGCCCCATGAGTTTTATTTTATTTTATTCAATGTGTTATAGTTAATTATAGCCATTGTTCTTGTTGATGTATCAATTGTCCCAAATATGGCTGGTAGAAGACCTTAAACTGGCTCCTTTTTCTTTGGACCTAACTGTGGTCTTCTTAGGTAGCTTCCTTCCTTTCTGACACCACAGGATATTCCAGACTTGCTTTGAATTTTCCTTGCCCCAAAGCCAGAATCAACCATTTCTCCAAGGGGCTCTGATTTCCTTTAGAAGGGAATACTGTATGTAAACCAAGATCCAGATGTTAGGTGTGCTCATGATTATTAGTGTGGTGTCATTTCTTTTAGGTCCTTTCTTTTTAAAAAATTTTTATTGTAGTTGATTTACAATGTGTTAATTTCTGCTGTACAGCAAAGTGACTCAGTTGTACATATATATATATTCTTTTTCATTATGGTTTATCACAGGATATTGAATATAGTTCCCTGTGCTATGCAGTAGGACCGTGTTGTTTACCCATTCTCTATATAATAGTTTGCATCTGCTAATCCCAAACTCCCAGTCCTTCACTCCCCCACTCCCACTTCTCCCTTGGCAACCACAAGTCTGTTCTCTATGTCTGTGAGTCTGTTTCAATTTTATAGATATGTTCATTTGTGTCATATTTTGGATTCCACATATCAGTGATATCATATGGTATTTGTCTTTCTCTTTCTGACTTACTTTGCTCAGTAATCTCCAGGTCCATCCATGTTGCTGCAAATGGTATTATTATTTTATTTTTTATGGCTGTGTGTGTGTGTGTGTGTGTATGTGTGTGTGTATGTGTGTAATATATATACACACACCACATCTTCTTTATCCATTCATTTGACAATGGACATTTAGGCTGTTTCCAGGGGGTCTGGCTATTGTAAATAGTACTGCTATGGACATAGGGGTGCATGTGTCTTTTCAAATTATAGTTTTGTCTGGGTATATGCCCAGGAGTGGGATTGCTGGATCATATGGTAGCTCTGTTTTTAGTTTCTCCATAGTGGCTGCACCAATTTACATTCCTAGCAGCAGTGTAGGAGAGTTCCCTTTCTCCACACCCTCTCCAACATTTATTATTTGTAGACTTTTTAGTGATGGCCATTCTGACTGGTGTGACGTGGTACCTCGTTGTAGTTTTGATTTGCATTTCTCTAATAATTAGCGATGATGAGCATCTTTTCATATGCCTCTTGGCCATCTGTATGTCTTCTCTGGAGAAATGTCTATTTAGGTCTTCTCCCATTTTTGATCGAGTTGTTTGGTTTTTTGTTATTGAATTGTATGTTTGTATGTTTTGGAAATGAAGCCCTTGTCAGTCACATTATTTGCAAATATTTTCTCCCAGTCCACAGGTTGTCTTTTTGTTTTGTTTATGGTTTCCTTTGTTGTGCAAAAGCTTGTAAGTTTGATTAGGTTCCATTTGTTTATTTTTGCTTTTCTATTGCCTTGGGAGACTGTTTTTGGTCCTTTCTTAAATGAGGGATGTTTAACAAATTAAGAATGGATGTTGGATTTTATTAAATGCTTTTAAAATCATCTGTCAAGGGCTTCCCTGGTGACACAGTGGTTAAGAATCTGCCTGCTAGTGCAGGGGACACGGGTTCTATCCCTGGTCAGGGAAGATTCCACGTGCCACGGAGCAACTAAGTTTGTGCGCCACAACTACTAAGCCTGCGCTCTAAAGCCCGCGAGCCACAACTACTGAAGCCCGCGTGCCTAGAGCCTGTGCTCTGCAACAAGAGAAGCCACTGCAATGAGAAGCCCACGTGCAGCAACAAAGACCCAACGCAGCCAAAAATAAATAAATAAATTTATTAAAAAAAAAATCATCTGTCAATATAATCATATTGGGTTTTCTCCTGACCTGAATTTTCTCTTGGTGAAATTTATTAATAAATTGTGTGATTGTTGGGAGGCAGAGACATCGAATAATATCCTTCTAACGGAGAATGAACTTTGATACCGGAAAATGAAGCAGGCAACTCCATGAAGTGCAGTTATGAAGTTTATTGTGGGTAACTTACATATGGGCTGGATCTGGCAGAGGATCCGGAGGCATTTGATCCATAGGCATTCAAAGCTGCATTCTGTGCTGCAGAAAAGGGTACAGGGGGATTTAAAGGGCCAAAGCTAAAAATAGAATCTGACTACTAGGGAGAATCATGTCCATATTGATGGGAACCCGGTTTTTTTCCCCTCCCCTTGGGGCTCTCATGACCATTAACCATCTGTGTCAGCAAAAGGCGTCCTTCCAGGACTGAAAAGTCCACGGGAAAAGTTGATAGGAAACTTACCTTGCTTGGGCACATTCCTTGTGAGTAGGCTAAAGGTCAGTGACATGGAAAAGGGAGCAGGTAACAGTTTAAGGAGAAAAAAACTATAGAATACCAGAAAAACCATTTACCTGGAGAATATTTTTCTCCCCACTTTCGTTTTTACTCATTGACATAATTCTTAGTTTTATTTCCTGATGGCAAAAGGAAAAAAACCCAACCCTCAAAAAGGTCAAGACCTCGTCCCTCTGTTGTCGGTGATTTGTTTCTTTTTGTTAGGTTGAAAATTGTGTAATGAATTTGATGACGCTGTCATTCTTTAAAAAAAGAAAAGAAAAGAAAGGGGAGCGAGTAGGACTGTGGGTCTAAGATAAGCTGACAAAATGGAGTCAGAGTGGTTCAGCCACACTACAGTACTGAGACATCCTTGCTCTCCTAGAGAAAACTCCATTTGTTAGTGGTGAATCTTTCATTTAGGATACCACTGTACTCTATTTGCTAATATTTGTTTAGCATATTTACATCATTATTCATCTATACCTGTATTTGCATCGCTGTAAAACTTTTTTTTTAATATTTATTTAATTTATTTATTTGGTTGTGCTGGGTCTTAGTTGTGGCTCGCTGGCTCCTTAGTTGTGGTACGTGTGCTCCTTAGTTGCGGCTTGCCAGCTCCTTCGTTGTGGCGTGCGAACTCTTGGTTGCGGCATGCACGTGGGATCTAGTTCCCTGACCAGGGATTGAACCCGGGCCCCCTGCATTGGGAGCACGAGTCCTAACCACTGCGCCAACAGGGAAGTCCCTAAAATTGGTTTTTATAAATCGGCATTGAGTTGTTTACTTATGAAACATGGATTTGGGACTTTGTTGAGTACATAGGCCTTTGACAACTTCCTCAATTTTTTTTCACTTTTACAGATCTGTTTAGGTTATTTGTGGTTTTCTAGAGAGTCATCTCTTTCATCTGTAGCTGTTCAAGATCTAGGCTTCTTGTGTCGCTCATCTTCTATCTTGTCTCCCTTCTCTCCTCCCCTCTATTCTCAGTTCAGGGGACCAGGTTTAGCTGATCAATATCTCTGCCTCCCGATTCCTGGGAAGAGGTTCTGGCTGATCAGCCCAGCTCAGAGGTGTCCACCCTTGGTCCAATCAGCCATGGCCAGGGGAGCATCGTGTGGTACAACTAGACTCATAGGTGTCACCTCTGTGGGTCAGAAGAGTCTTAGAGCAGGGAGGTTATAAAGTAGGCAGATATCTCAAAAATTCTCTCCTCAGTGCTTAGATTTAGCAATTATTTCATTTCAGGTTTTTTTCTAATTTGCCACTTTCCATTTGCATTGTTATTAAGTTCTTGTTTCTGCTTTTCTTAGATTCATTTTGTAATCTATTTTCAAACTTCTTATTTGATTAATTTATTAATTTTATGTCTTGTGATCAGAAATTTGTATTTAAAGCTTCAAATTTTCCACTCAGTATAGTTTTAGTGTGTTCCACAGTTTTGTATGTAGTACCTTCATTAGTTTTATATTTTTGTTCTAATGTTGTCCTTGATTCAAACACTTGCTTTGGAAAACTTTAAAATTTTTTTCCCACATTGTTGGGAGAGGAGGCTTATTATTATAGGTTTCATTTTGATTGTACTTGTCAGAGTGTGGAGTGTATAATCTGAACGATTTCTACTTTGTTATGGTTTTCTTTGTGTTCAAATAAGTGGCCCATTTTTGTAAATGTTCTAAAAGCTCTTTAACAGAATATGAGTTCTATAATTTAGTTGCTCTATTGCTTTATATATTTTTGAGACTTGATCCATTAAGGACTGAGATTTTAGAGTGTTAGATGTGAGAATGTTAGAATCTATGACTATCTTTGTATTTGTAATCCTCCTTCCATATCCTGCCATTCTTTGCTTTGTGTGCTTTAATGCTATTATTTAATGGATAAAGTTCATGACCTCTACATCTGTTTTGTGGATCATGCATGTGATCATGATAAGTGATCCTTTTGGTCCCACTTAATAATTTTTTTGCCTCGAATCCAACTGTGCTGACATTAATATTGCAAACCTTACTCTTTATTTCCCCTTGGGCTCTTTTTGCTTATTCTTTTTTTTTTTTTTTGCGGTACGCGGGCCTCTCACTGCTGTGGCCTCTCCCGTTGCGGAGCACAGGCTCCAGACGCGCAGGCTCAGCGGCCATGGCTCACGGGCCCAGCCCTTCTGCGGCACGTGGGATCCTCCTGGACCGGGGCACGAACCCGTGTCCCCTGCATCGGCAGGCGGACTCCCAACCACTGCGCCACCAGGGAAGCCCTATTTCTGATTTTTTATTGAGTCTCTCTGTTGCAAATTGATTCTTTACTCTTCTATTTAACAGAAATCAATCTTGCTAAGTAGTGTAAGATACAGGGTTAACTGACATTTTTCCTCCAGTTACTGTTCCCGTCTATATTACACAATCAAGTCTTTTTTGTTTACATAATCAAGAAAAATAACTTTAACAGCCTTTGCTCTTTTGTGTCCCAACAGCTCTAGATGTCTGTGGATCCTTTTGGCCCTGGGCATTGTGTTATTTCTGTTCAGAAGTGTATACCTTTATACACAGTCCAGTAACCACAAGCCACGGCTCCTTCATCCTGCTCCGGCTGCCGGGATGCTGAAGCTTCTACCTGAGGAACATGTCAGGAGCCTCTTTGCCTATGATGGAATCTGGTGAGATAACAAGTTATTCCACCTTGGTCTGACCTTTCCTTCCTGTGGCTCACAGTGTCCTGTTGTGCCCACTTTACAGCCAGTTCCCTACCTTCCTGCACCTGTGTTGATTGAGAACGTGATTCCAAACCACGGAACCAGGAAAAGGCTTGGTCTGCAGGGCACGGACTCTGTTCCCAGCGAAGTCCCTTACGATTTTGGAGGGCCTGTTTAACCCAAACCACAGGAAAGATGTTGCCTTTCTGTCCCTCTGGCCTCCTTCTTCTGGTCAGGGTTGCTGAGATGCCACTGACATTCCTGCGACTCTCAAGTTTAAAGAAGCTTGGGGAATTCCTTGGCTGTCCAGTGGTTAGGACTCTGAACTTTCACTGCCGGGCCTGGGCTCGATCCCTGGTTGGGGAACTAAGATCGCACAAGCCGCGCAGTGTGGCAGAAGTTTGGTGCAGGAGATGACTCAAGAGAGGGGGCCTTTTTTTTTTTTTGATTATAAAATTTATTTTTTATTATTTTATTGGAGTCTAGTTGATTTACAATGTTGTGTTAGTTTCAGGTGTACGGCAAAGTGATTCAGTTATATACAGAATATTGAGTAGAGTTCCCTGTGCTATACAGTAGGTCCTTGTTGGTTATCTATTTTATCTATAGTAGTGTGTCTATGTTAATCCCAAAAGCTCCTAATTTATCCCTTCCCCTCACGTTTCCCCTTTGGTAGCCATACGCTGGTTTTGAGAGGGGGCCCTTCTTGCCCTTTCCCCTTCCTTCCCCTCCCTGTGTCTTTGGGAACAGCCACTGCTGGCATTCTAGAGTCTCAACCCAACCCGGACAGTGGCTATGGGAAAAGAGAGTCTGAGGGGAGCAACACACTGGGTTAGGCTTCAGACCCCGCCTTACCCACCAGCCCACCCACCCAATCCGCAACCTTAGTCCTCATCTTGTTCTAGGCTCTTCCCGAAAAACCAGTGCAAATGTGAAGCCTCGGAACATCAGGGAAGCTATAACTTTGAGGATGCCTATGGCCAGAGTGACCTCCCTGCGGTGAAAATGAGGAGACAGGCTGAATTTGAACACTTTCAGAGGAGGTAATGCAGACTATGTGGGCTCTTGGGCCCTGAGGTGGAACAGAAGCTCTCCCTACTGTCTCCTGAGGGTGTGGGTCCAGGGAGAGAAGGAAGGCACTCCGGCTCTTGCAGGGTCCCTGGAAGGAACTATTAGGAATAAACCAAGTAAAGAGAATTGAGGAAATAGTCCTTCAATAAAGATTTATAAAACTTGGGAATTCAGGCTTCCCTGGTGGCGCAGTGGTTGAGAGTCCGCCTGCCGATGCAGGGGATGCGGGTTCGTGCCCCGGTCTGGGAAGATCCCACATGCCGTGGAGCGGCTGGGCCCGTGAGCCATGGCTGCTGAGCCTGTGCGTCCGGAGCCTGTGCTCCGCAACGGGAGAGGCCACAACAGCGAGAGGCCCGTGTACTGAAAAAAAAAAAAAAAAGATTGATCTAGACAACATCTCTCAATGAGCTTACAGTATAATAGAGGGATACAGACTGTGCCCTCCCCTCGGGGTCAAGTGGCCACTCTCCCCACCACATCCTCCCTGCGCCACCATCATCACAGAGCACACGAGCAGTCTGTGGCCCAGGGAGTGTTTTCAGCAAATTGCATGGAACTCAAGAGTTCAATCCCAAGCTCAATATTATAATAGCAGTCAGGGAGGGATGTGGTAGGTTTTAAGAGGGAGAACAGCATCTAGCTCTGAGAACTGAAAATAGAACTTCAAGAAAAAGGTGACATTCAGAGCTGGCCTGACCCCTGTTACTGAACAGATGACTTTGTATTCTAGCTTTTGGAGTCTGGCTCTGGGTTCCCATCCCAGGTAGGTACATCTCCGTTCAGAAAAGACCCGAGCAACTTTCTTATTCCTTCTTAATCAAAAGGAGGAAGCAGAAGGGAACAGTCATTCATTGGGTACCTGCTGTGTACCCAGCACAATGAAGCTTGACATGCTTTCGTTTAATGAAATGAAACCATTTCATTAGTCTCCCTCTTTCCACCACTGGGAATCGCCCTTAGTAGCTGTGACCTCCCTGGGTATCCGAGATAACATAGAAGAGGACAGAAATCTATGTGCATCGAGGAATCTTGGGACATAATTGGCTTTTTGGTGGCCTCCAGCATCATGGGAGCAGGCAAAGCATGAGCCCATCTCCAGGGAGTGCGTATGGCAAAGGATATTTATGCCGGTTAAAAATCCCCTCTACGAGGGAATTTTACACACTCTTTTAGTTCAGCATCACATCCCTGTGAGGTAAATATTATTTTGCCAACTTCACAGAGTTATCTAAGGCCACAGAAGAAGACTAGATTAGACTGGATTAGAGCTTGAATTGATCATATTATAAGAACAGAGATAGATTCTAAAATAAAATCATTTGGGATGAATTGGTAGTGCTTTTGAATAGTCATTTAAAAAATGATTTGCCACTTTGGGTAGTTCTTTTTTTATTGTGGTGAAGCATACATAACATAAAATTTACCATTTTAACCATTTTTAAGTGTCTAATTCTGTGGCATTAAGTACATTCACATTGTTCTGCAACCATCACCAGCAACCATCTCTAGAACTTTTTCATCTTTCCAACTGAAACTCTGCACCCATTTAACAGTAACTCCCTTTTCCCCTCAGTCCCTGGCAACCACCATTCTATTTTCTGTCTCTATGAATTTGACTATTCCGGGAAACTCATATAAGGATGATTCATTATTTATCTATTGCTTCCTTCCCTTTAGTAACAGAGATACCTAGAAGGGACTGGATTAATTCACAGCACCCATCCAAAACTGAGGGTGGGCATTGGCAGCTTTAGAACTGCTGGAATTTGAGAAGGACCATGGGACACCATCTAATAGAGCCCTGGGGAGAGGGGAGTGGTCAGCAAACTCCCTGGATTAGGTGACACTTAAAGGGTCTCTGGAGGGATGTGTAGGAGTCGGCCAGGAAGGTGAGAGCATCAGGGAGTCCTTGGCATCCTCTCAAATGTTGTTTTTTGTCCTTTTTCCTGTGTTCTCCAGGTCTCCAGTTTGAAGGACCAGATGCTCCCATCTATGAGGCAAGGGTCCCCTTCCCAGCTCTCTTTTGCACTTGGCATCCTGTCCTTCGCTCACTACCTGTGCCCTCTTCCCCCCATGGTAGCCGGTTTCAGATTTTGACAGAGTCTCTATCCTGATTAAATATTAGACGTGAGTCCATGGTGGGGAGAGGGGGAAGGGTACCTATAGAAGTCATGAATTTTCCAGCCATGGGGTAGCTGGTGTTCCAGGGAGGACTTCCAGAGGACTGGGCCACCAAGGGTCCTGCTGCCTTCAGCTACAGGAGGAAGCTGCCGCCACAGCCGGGCTGTGTTGCCCCTGTCCGGGTCAGCGCCAGCAAGGTGGATGCTCTGTGGCCTGCCCTTCTTTCCCATCTAAGATAGCTCCAAATCAAGGTCTATGCAAGTATGTCTATCCAGAACCCTAACTGAAAAGGAGTCTGGGAAATATAGTTTTAGTTTTCCCCCTTCTGCATGCCACATGAGGCTGTAATGGGTGGTGATTGAGCAAAGCTGCTCTGTCCTCCAGAGGGCGCCTCTGGACACCTCCCCCGCAACTACCCTCACCGCCGCTGCCCCCTACACCTTTGTCACTTTGTCTCTACTCTGTGTTACCTTCTTTTGTGTGTGTGTGTGTGTGTGTTACCTTCGTCATGGCACTTATCATACCTGAATTACTTTATATGTGTCATGATATGCTTATTGCCACTCTTCCTCACTAGACTATAAGCTTCTTGAAGGCAGGGAGTCTGTCTTATTCACTGCTCTTTTCCCAGGGCCTGTAGTTTGGATCTCAGAAAGTATCTCTCGAATGACTAAAGTGTTTTCAGCAGAAATGACCCAATCTAGGTTACTTTTCGTAAAGATAACTGGCTGTTGCAAAAGACAAGAAGGCAAGGGAAGAGAGTAGCAGTGGGGATGGAGAGAAGCAGATGGATTCTAGCTACATGTTGAAGGTGGACCGGGCAGGACTCACTCATGGATTGGCTGTAGGCGTTGGGGAAAGAGCAGGACAAGAATGACTTCATTTGGGGACTGGAACAGCTGAGTGGGTGGAGGTGCCATTCACAAGGCAAGGAGAGCCAGGGACGGGGTGGAAAACAGGTTTATCGAGAAAAAAACATAGTTCAGTTTTGAAGATATCAGTTTGAGCTGCTTGTGAAACTTCCTAGCAGAGCAACCAACCAGGCAGCTGGATCTCAGAAAGATAGGAGCTGAAGATGTACTTTAAAAAAAAATATTATTTATTTACTTTATTTATTTATTTTTGGCCGCGTTGGGTCTTCATTGCTGCATGCAGGCTTTCTCTAGTTGCGGCGAGCGGGGGCTACTCTTCATTGTGGTGCGCAGGCATCTCATTGTGGTGGCTTCCCTTGTTGCAGAGCACAGGCTCTAGGTGCGCGGGCTTCAGTAGTTGTGGCACGTGGGCTCAGTAGTTGTGGCTCACGGGCTCTAGAGCACAGGCTCAGTAGTTGCGGTGCACGGGCTTAGTTGCTCCATAGCATGTGGGATCTTCCAGACCAGGGATCGAATACTTGTCCCCTGCATTGGCAGGGGGATTTTTTTTTTTTTTTTTGTTTTGCGTTACGCAGGCCTCTCACTGTTGCGACTTCTCCCGTTACAGAGCACTCCCGTCCGGACGCACAGGCTCAAAGGCCATGGCTCACGGGCCTAGCCGCTCCGTGGCATGTGGGATCTTCCTGGACCGGGGCACGAACCTGTGTCCCCTGCATCGGCAGGCGGACTCTCAACCACTGCGGTCAGGCGTATTCTTAACCACTGCACCAGCAGGGAAGTCCCTGAAGATGTACATTTTTAAACCATCAGCATATGAATAGTATTTAAAGCTGCTGCCTCCTCTAGTGAGAAGGTGTAGATTAAGAAGGGAAGAGGACGCAGAACCAAACCCTGAAAAACTCTCTTTGGTGGTCAGATAGACAAGGAGTCGGCAAACGGAATTCAAAAGGAGCAGCCACGGGACTTCCCTGGTGGCGCAGTGGTTAAGAATCTGCCTGCCAATGCAGGGGGCACAGGTTCAATCCCTGGTCTGTGAAGATCCCACATGCCGTGGAGCAACTAAGCCCGTGCGGCACAACTACTGAGCCCATGTGCCGCAACTACTGAAGCCTGCATGCCTAGATTCCATGCTCAGCAACAAGAGAAGCCACTGAAATGAGAAATGAGAAGCCTGAGTGCTGCAACGAAGAGTAGCCCTCCCTCGCCACAACTAGAGAAAGCCCGTGCGCAGCAACGAAGACCCAACGCAGCCATAAATAAATTTAAATAAATAAATAAATATATACATATATACATATATATATATATATACATACACACATAGGGGGAGAGAGAGAGAGAGAGAGGGGGAGAGAGAGATGAGCAGCTGGCGTAGGAAGGGGTAGGAAGAAATCTTTAAGAATGGTATCCTGCAAGCCAAGAGTTAAGAATGCTTCAGAAATGGCCCTTGAACACACCAGGTCCTAGGCCTTGATTCTTCTTTACTGGGCTGGGGCAGCAACCGCAGAGCCAGACCTTAGGTTTCAGGGGCACCCGTGATCCTTCTCTCGTGTTGATGCTCTCTGCTCCCTGCTGGCCATTCTGGGTTTGTGCTGTTCTTTGCATTTCGTCTTTCTATCTCATCCACCCTAGGTCACCCTGACAGCTTCTCTGGGGACACTGAACACCCTCGCTGACATCCCAGACAGTGTGGTGCAGGGCAGAGGCCAGAAGCAGCTGAACGTTTCGACCAGTAACCGGAAGCTTTTGAATTTCATACTCCAGCACGTGACATACACAAGCACAGAGTATCAGAGCTGCAGGGTGGATGTAGGTGAGAGGCTGTCCTTGGATGCCTAGGGACCTGTCCAAAATGCTTAGGGACCCAGAAAGACACCATCAGGCCCTCAAAGTCTTCCTCCTCCAGGAAGCCTGCCTCTCTAGCTCCTGTTTCTAACTCTAAACACCTAACTTCCCAATTACTGTACCCAGTGCTATCCCCCACGTTGCCATTGACCACACAGAGTGACTCGAAGAAAACGACAGGCAAAATGCCTGCTTGCCTCTCCATGAAGACAGATCATTGATGCTGTGCCCCTAGAAACCATCCAGTTCTGTTCCTCATTCTCAGTAGCAAGCATACCTGAAGATTTTGGCTGCAGTAGATGGGGGGCGGTCTATGCGTCAGTACCTTGTCCTGGGCACTAACAGGAAAGAGGGATGTGGGGAACTAGAAGCCCCCAGGTCAGTGGCTTTGTCTTCCTCCTCCCATCCCAGTCCCAATTCCCATTCCCAGAATTCTTGGGAGAACAACTCCTGCCACCGGCAGGGCAGCCCCAGTTTCTTTCTGGTTGAATTCAAGGCACCCGTTCCCATGTTGAGCAGCTACACAGCATTCCCAGGACACCAACAGAAAAAAATGAAGTGTGGGATAGATTTCCCATGAGCACAGACTAGAGGCAGAGTTCTCTTCACCTTCAGATTTTCAAACATTTCTTATCACAAAATGACCCTGTGAGGTATAAAATGGGGCAGGTAGTATTATCCTGGTTTTGTAGATGGAGAAGGAGGTCAAGTGATCTACCCAAGGAATTTCAGATAACAAGACAAAGTCAAACTTAACCCATCCCTCTGATTCCAAGCCCACTTTACCCAACAGATTCTTACGGGGAGGAAATGTGAGTTTTGGAGGTGATCAGCAGGTTGCCCCAGGGATGCAAAGCAGGTTATGAGTCACACTGCCATAGACTATGCAGTCCTCAGTCTCGTTCCACCCGTCCACTCCCGCATCCCGTCGGCTTCCCAGGCAGCGCGGGGAGTGACCCAGACACAGTGCACCCACCCTGACCTTATTTCTCTCTCCAGTGAGTCTGGAGTCCAAGTCCTCAGTGGCCAAGTTTCCAGTGACCATCCGCCTTCCTCTTATGCCCAAGTTATATGACCCTGGACCAGGTAAGGCCCTTGTCCCTGGGGCTTCATGGTGGGTCCTATAGAATAGTGGTGAGATTCAGAAGGGATCCCATCTAAGATGGAGGAGAAAAATGATTATAAA